CCCCAAAACCCCAAAACCCCAAAACCCCAAAACCCCTTTTTTGTGGAACTTTGTTGAATTCTATGGCTATTGAAGATTATTTTCTTTTCCATTGCATAATGGTCTTATCGTAACCACCAATGGAGAATATGTAGCTGTCATCCTCTGCAAATCTTGTTCTTATGACATGCTCAGAATGACCTCTAAGAGATATAGGTTTGGCTCCTTTACGTGCTGGATTTCTCCATACATTAACAAGGCCATAATCATCTCCTGTAACAATCAGTTCACCATCATTTGAAAAGTCAACATCATTGATGTGGGTACCATCGGTTCCTTTTGGAAAGATCCCAGTCACGCTCCATCCAAATTTGGCATGGCTTGTATTCCATTTGAGTCCCTTAGTGTTGCTTGCTCCACTATTATCATGTTCAATATTGTCTTGAACTGTGAAAAATAGCAATTCATGCGCCCCACATACAGAACGAATGTATGAAGAATCTTCACTCCAATCAATTGAGACGATGAACGAGTTATGAGCAGTTCCCTTTCCAATAAGCTTATAATCATTTGTATCATAGACATAGATATCATCGTCATGTGACCCAACCGCCATCTTTCCTCCGCATGGTGAATATTCAATGACTTCAATCCATTCCTCTGCATCTTTCAAAGTGTGAACAATTTTATTCAAATCGTCAACTCCACCTCTGATAGTGACTCTACCATCGTTATGTCCAATAGCAACATGCCCATTTCCCTTCTCGTTGATAGAGATTGCTCTCGCGCATTTGCTTGGAGCATATGTAGTCAATGAACTTGCTCCTCCTTTCTTTGGCTCAGAATCTTCGTCACAAATTTCTCCACTACCAGTATTCTTTCTGTCTTTGATACTCCAGGTATATATTTTATTATCATCTCCAGAAGATACAATTGTGCCATTAGAATTAATATCCAATCCCCAAGCCTCACCATCACTATGAGATCTCATTAGATCAGTGATTTGATCATTAGCAGTAATCTCAACAATAGTACCATTCCTTAAACCAGCAAGAATGCTATCTCCCTTCATATCCACTGATCTTACTAAGGAACCAACATCAATAGTTCTTTCAGCTTCTTTGGTTTTTGGATTCGAGACTACCACTTTTCCATCTTTAGCTCCTGAAATAACTTTTCCTTCTTGTCATTTGATTGCTCACACAAATCCTCTTCCATGTACATCATAATGACTCTGTAAGTATAACCTATCTGTTGGTTCACCATCAGCTTTAATATTCTTAGCCCAGTGATAGATATGAGAATTTGCTCCTCCAGTATAACAGTTTCCTTGATCATCCCAAGCAACTGCGCAATGAGAAGTTGGCTTTCCCTTTTTACCATAGATTCCACTCCTCTCTTTGAAAGTGTTATTCATATCCCAGAAAGCAATATGTTTAGAACCTGCAGTAGCAATCACATTTTCTCCTTTTTCTGGAGACCAGGCTATATGATAGATGCGTTGTCCTCCTGTCTTTTTACATTCAATTTTCTTTTGAGTATCTACATCAAACACCCACAAGTTATGATCGTTGCTATTATCGGTCATAGCAACCATTTTGTTATTTGGACATATCCCAATAGCCGTAACTTCTCTCATTCCTTTCTTCAACTTGAATTTTGATTTCTTTTCGCCAGTAACTGCATCCCAAACAAATGCCACAGGAACTGATCCTCATTGCCCAGTTGCACAAAATTTTCCATATTCAGAAATATCCAGAGCAGTGATATCATTTGTATGGCCAAGATCATCCCTGGCAACTTTCTTTGAAGTATTGTCAACTTGCCCTCCACCAAAGAACTTCTGGGTATTATCACTTTTATTAAGAATAACGCCTAAAGCAGCTGTGAAATAGACCACATTTCCATCCTCATTGTAGAAACAATTCATTCTACTATCTTCAGCTCTGTATCCATACACATACTCAAGCTCGTATCCTAGTTCTGGAGCATCCTCTTTTTCCTCATTATGTTCTTCTGGCTCTTGAATAGCTCCCTCATATGGTCTCACAGCCATGAATTGTTCTCCAGCTCCTGCATCAGCTCCTTCAAAGAAATCAAATTCACGCTCATGTTTTGGTGCATCCACTTCTACTGTTGTTTTAGTGGTCTTATCAAAAACTTTTCTTTTAGTCTTAACTTTTTCTTCTTCTTCTTTAAATTCGTCATCAATAGAAGCATCATTATTCCAATCAATCTTCTCCGCTTCAGGATCTCCTGAATTTTTCGATGATCCACAACCCATATTTTTCTTTGCTTTATTTAGTAAATAAAACTCCTCTATAAGAATATTTCAGCATTCGATCCCAAATCAGGGGTTTTGGGGTTTTGGGGTTTTGGGGTTTTGGGG